GGGGGAGACAGACAGACACATCTGGCTGTCCCCTCCATCTGGATCTTATTTTCCAATTTCAGAAGTAGCTTTGTGCTACCCCAATGGAACAGCTAAAGATCACAGGAAAAGGATGTTTGCTCTGGTTGTGTGGGTTTCTCCCAGGATGGCCCATGCCCTCTTCACAAAACAGTGGTGTCTACTGCAGGCAAAACAGAAAAGCTTCCAATCTCAAAAGCTAGGGGGAGAGGAATTAGATACCCAGAGGAGATGCAGGTGCAACTTACATGAATCCCACCTTTTTTTGCTTATGGGGGGTGGGGTGGGGAGTTGGAGCCTTCTACGGTTATCAAGAAGAGTACAGTGTCTTCCCTGGGTTAGTCCTGCCTTCTCTCCGGCTGTGAACATCAATTAAACCTCATCAAGCTGACACCTTGTCTCCAAGAGCCGGGTTAGTATTGAACCACTCTTACCCACAGGGTTCCCCAATCACAAGGCCGTGGCTCTGTCATGGATGCCACTGAAGACTGGCCAAGACATGGCACTCTGACTCTAAGCAGTTAGTCGAAGAGTCCTTCAGGGCTCTTTTAAATATGGGTAGCTACGTGCTAATGCCAGCCTTGGATTTAGGCTCATGAACTCTGTGGCTGACTTCATCTTTCTGATACAGTAGTGGCGCAGCATGTGTATAAGGAGGTGAGGCGCAGGCCTGAACCTCACTGGCATCGAGCTGAATAATGAACCTTGGGACTTATATGCTTCTGGGTCAGTTCCAAGATGCTCAGGGCTTAGAGCATTCATGGAAAAGACCAAGATGCCTCTGGCCTCTCCAACTGCAGCCATGGCAACAGGATTTAAAAAAAAAAAAAAGCACAAATAATTTAGAAGACCATCCCACCCAATACACACATGATCACCTATCATGACACACAATTCCTCTGAATAAATAAATAAATAATTAAATACTGATAATGGTGAGAAAGAGAGCTCATCACATAAATAATAAATAAATAAAAAATAAATAAATCGAATAAATAAAAAGTTTGCTAGGAGCCCCAGGCAAAATGGTCCCCTAGAGTGGTTTGAATGAAAATAGTCTGTGTCTTCGAGAGAGGCTCTTGTGCCTTCCCAAGCCGTCCTGCTGAGGAGGTTTGGTGGCTCCCGGAAGCCTTTGTCTCCAATGAGGGAAACGAGGAGGAGTTGGCGACCTGGGCAGGGATGGGGGTTATTTACAGTTGCTGTACGTGCCCTCTTGGGGCACCTACTCCTGTGCCAGGCACCTGCCATCAGCCTCTTGTGGTGTCAGCATAGGCATCCTTGAGTCTTGGTGGGCGGAGTTTTGGTCTGGGCAAGAAGCCTTGGTGGGAAGGCCAGTGTGGCCACTGATGTTCCTCCTTGCCTACTTGATGACAGACTTCCCTGGCGCTCACGGGACCCCCCAGGCTGGTAGGTTGGGAAAGATTGGCATGGAGAGGTCACTGCTTTTAAGATGGGGATTTTTTTTTCCCTCCTCAAATGTTTACCTTGGAGCAAGAGGGATAAATAATGTTGTGTCCTTGTGTCCATCACGCTTCAGTGTCCAAAGCTGGGAAAGAACCTCTTTCTCTCCGTGTGCCCTGGCATGCTCAGCTGTTGTCACCACAAACTTGACACCCACAAGGCTCTGGAAAGCCAGGCAGGTGGTGAGGGGGATGCCCGAGGGTTTATTTTAAGGACTCTCTCTCTCTCTCTCTCGCCTGCCTGTTCCCAATGTCTTCTGCAGACAAAGCAGCTGATGGCATTTGTGTGTCAGAGGGCAGCTTACCCTTGCTGCCCAGCCCTGGGCAGGAAGAAGGTGGAGTGAGGGCAGCAACAACCCCTGGACTTTCCTAAACTTGCAGGAGCCCCAAGTCAGGGACCACGCAAGTCCCTCTGTCACAGGCTCTCTGTATTTGGGTCTTTCCCCCACAACACTGAGCTAAATGCAATGTCCCATCCTGGCAAAATTCCTGAGAGGCAAAGAGAGTGGTCTTCATGTGAGACGGCAGGTGCCAGCCTGCCCTGGGTAGAATCAAGGGTGTGGCAGTCTGGGCAATGTGGAGGGGGGGGCTGGCGGGCGCCAACTGGAGGGCAGGGGCAGACTGGCTGGCGCTGGGGACTGGCTGCTAGCCACAGCACTGGGAATGCTCAGCAGATGGTCCCGTGGAATCAAGTTGGTGCCAGCTTACTGGGGATGAGGCAAATTTGGGAAGGAGGGCTGTAGCCCAAAGTATGCTGACGGTTCCACTGTCTCCTTATCCCCATGGGGTCACGAGGCCCCGCGTGAGGGTCTCCACAGAGCTGGAACCTGCTGGAATCCCTTCCCTGGCCATGCTGACATGCTAAGAGGGCGAATGACCTGACTCTTTGCTGCTATAAGTAGAGAACCCATCTCCAATCTTCCCCCAACGTCTACCAACAACAATAGTACCCACCTCCTCTGCTCATGTCTGATTTCTCCCAGCAGGACCCAGGAGCTCCCAGCCTTTGCCCATGTTGGGAGGGAGGTTAAAAAAGCTCTGAGCTCTTCTGTTGGACTTCGCCCTTGGTCTCCTCTCTTCCTAACACTGGGGTCCAAAATGTGCAGCCGTGAGATTGAAGGAGGGGGAAAGGAGGGCGGGGTGGGGGTGGGGGTGGATTGACCCTGGCCTCCAGTGGGTATCCTGTGAGCAGCGGCTGAGTGGAACAGAGATATCGCCACGTGTCTTGGCCAGGCCCACACTTTCAAGTCGTCAATCATAGCTTTCCACAGGTGGCCCTCTCCGTCGGCCCAGATGACTCTCAGGGTGGTGCTGGTAAAGGCTCCTAGCAGCTTGGCAAAGGAATAGAAGTCCCTGTATCCCGCCCCACCTTCCCAGGAAAAGCACAGAGGACAGGAGTCAGGAGCCCTCCGTGTCTGTCACCAGGGAGCGGGCGTGAAGAGCAGGTAGTAAAGGAGACTGGCAGAGTACAGAGGGGTCTTCCCGGTGGGCAGTGGCGAGGGAGGGCCCTTGCTTAGCGCCTCGTGCTGGCATAGCTTTCTGCCGAGCTGTAACTCAGGCTCCGACTCCGACTGCGGCTCCGGGAGCCCACGCTGAGGCTGCGGGAGCTAGAGCTGCGGCTGGTCCGCGTCCGGCTCCGGGTCTGGCTCCTGCTGCGGCTCCGGCTGGGACTCCGGCTCCGGGAGTAACTGCGGCTGGCCGAGCGGCTGCTGCTGCTGCTGTACCAGGAGGAGGCGCTGCTGAGGCTGCTGGATGAGGAGGGGCTGGGTCGGTAGTAAGGGATGGGGCGTTTGCGGGCACTGTAGGGACCAGAGATAGGAAGCAGGTGAGGGCTCAGCTCTCAGGGAGCGCCGGCGCTGTTCCCAGGGAAAGCAATGTCCTTCCATCCCCCAGTCTCTTAGGGAGAAAAAGAAAACCGCAATAACTCCAAACCCCAACAAAACAAAAACAAATTCCTCCATCTCTTCTCCTCTCATAGTTTTGAGATCAAGGAAAAAGCCTGGTTTAGTACTGTTCTATCCTGAAAAAAAAGCGATAGTCACTTGAAAGAAAGAAAGAAAGGAAGGAAGGAAGGAAGGAAGGAAGGAAGGAAGGAAGGAAGGAAGGAAGAAAGAAAGAAAGAGAAAGGAAGAAAGAAAGAAAGAAAGGAAGGAAGGAAGAA